ATTTATAGGGTGTTGGTGTCTTGTGTCTTGGGTTTTTGGTCTGGGAGGATTCATTAATCCAGACAGAGCTGCAAGTCCTTACAAATATATTTAGCCACTCACTAATAGACCAGTGATTAGAAGATTCCTAGATTCTAATGCTTTTTTTTTTTTGACTCCACATTGGAAATAACACAAGAGCTAATTTGAAAATGAAGTGATCCAAGTGTTTATTGGCTCAAGTAAGATAGGAAAGGTAACTTTGCTAACTTCTAAATATTATCACACTGTGAAATATGGTGGAAGAATAACAGTTCTTTTTTTTTAAGATTTTATTTATTTATTTGAGAGAGAGAGAGAATGAGAGATAGAGAGCACGAGAGGGAAGAGGGTCAGAGGCAGAAGCAGACTCCCCGCTGAGCAGGGAGCCCGATGCGGGACTCGATCCCGGGACTCCAGGATCATGACCTGAGCCGAAGGCAGTCACTTAACCAACTGAGCCACCCAGGCGCCCAGAATCACAGTTCTTTAAGACAGTAATGCAAGCTGCCTGAGATTGTAGAGTCCCCTTCCCTCCCCAGCCCCCTAAAGTAAGCCCTGAGGTGATGGCCACTCTGCATTGTTTCTATTTGCAGCACCTGTGGCCTGTCAGGTCTAGATGGCCCCAGTAAAGTGTGTTGTAGTGAGAGAAGGTGGCAGGGTCCTTGGAGAATTTTTAACTTTGCATTATTTTTATTTTTAGCATTTTTAAAAGAATTATTTTAGAGTGAGAGAGTGTGCAAGTGGGGAGAAGGGCTGAGGGAGGAGAATCCCAAGTGGACCTCACACTCAGCATGGAGCCTGACATAGGGCTCCATCTCATGACACTGAGATCATGACCTGAGCCGAAACCAATAGTTGGTCACTTAACTGACTGAGCCACCCACCCAGGCTCCCCTAAAGTTTTGCAAGGAAAGAATAGAACTTGAGAGGTTGAGGATAAAAGAGAAGGGAGGGACACCTGGGTGATTCAGTGGGTTAAGCGGCTGCCTTCGGCTCAAGTCATGATCCCCGGGTCCTGGGATCAAGTCCCACGTCGAGCTCCCTGCTCAGCGGGAAGTCTGCTTCCCCCACTCCCTCTGCTTGTTCTCTCTCTCTCAAATAAATAAAATCTTGAGAGAGAGAGGGAGAGAAAGGATATTTAATGGAATGCAGCCCATGTAGATAGAAGCGAGGGCTCTGTGGGGACCCAGAGAACTGGTGAGAGGGTTTACTCTGGATCCACTTGGATGAGAGGAAAGGAAACCAAGGTGAGTGGATGCAGATGGTATTTTTAATAGCTCCAACAGGAAGTCGAGCAAACGCTATTGCTGATCTATTTTGTATTAGGAGGTAAGATGGTATATTAAGAGCAGGAAGGGCGAGGGGTGGGAAAGATGTCTCCAGGAAAGGGGTAAAGATTGAACCCCCTTCATTCCACTCATGATGCACGAGGATATCTAGGCTGCACGCAGACTTAGCTGAGATTGGAGGTCATGAGACTGTAGAGGATCAAGCGTCACCTTTTTGGGTTCTTCCTGAGTCCATATCAAAAATGTGGATGGCCAGGAAGATTTGCCAAGTGCGTACAAGGAAAGGATGATGAGGTAAAGGAATAGGAGGCACTAGCAGTGAGTGGCTAAAGTGTCGGTTGGTGGGGTCAGGCTGGGTAGGAGAGGAAGCAGACTGGGAGAAAAGCAAGTGTATGTCAGGTAAAGGAAGAGTCAAAAATTAAGTTAAGGATAAGAGACTAGTCCAGGTGTAGAATGTTGAAGATAGGGACGCCTGGGGGGTTCAGTTGGTTAAGCGTCTGCCTTTGGCTCAGGTCATGATCCCGGGATCCTGGGATGGAGCCCCGCGTTGGGCTCCTTGCTCAGCCGACAGTCTGCTTCTCCCTCTGTCACTCCCCCTGCTTGTGCTCTCTCTGTCAAATAAATATGTAAATAAATAAATAAATAAATATATTTAAAAAGAATGTTGAAGAGAGATTATAGAACTGTGATAAAGACAGAAGGGGCTCTGGGCAGTGCTGTTTTAGGGTGCAGCTGGGAACAAGGGAGACAGAGTGAAGCAATGGGGATGGTTCCTGGAGCTGAGTCTGGCTGACTCTCACAGCAGTCATGCAGACTCCCAGCTCCCAGGCCGCTGCCCAGTCCCACTCTTCCTTCTTTCTCAGACAGCAGACACCAGGTCTCCTTAATGCTTTGTGCTTCGTCCTAAGTCATCCAGTTTACACGCGGCAGACACCGTACTACAGTTCTCAGTTGGTGGTGACAAATACCACTGCGCATGGGCTTTCAGGCAGCAATCATTTCTAATCATTTGGGGGGTGGGGAAGGATGGGAGTGTACAAACTCTTCTAATTTAGTTGCATCACTGCAGACTCAAAAAGTGTTTAGAAAGTAAATGCCTTTGTCCCTCCCTCTAATGGGTGGCACCACCAAAACAGCCTGCCAAACCAGAAATCCCATGAATCAACCTAGATGACTCTCCTTCCCTCAACCCCCACATCCCATCAATTTCCAGGGCCTGCATGAGCCACCTTCTTTCCAACCACTTAGTTTAGGCCTTCAGCGTCTCTGTTAAATTCCCGTTACTGTCACAACAAAATTACCACCAATGTAAGGTTTTAAAACACAAATTTATTATTTTACAGTACTGTAGGTCAGAAGTCCAGTGTGGGTCTCAACAGGATAAAATCAAAGTGCACCTCCAGAGCTGAGTTCCCTTCTGTAGGCTCTAAGGGAGGGTCCCCTTTCCCCTGCTCAGTTGGGTTATTGGCAGAATTCACTTCCTTGTGGCCGTAGGACTGAAATTCTCACTTTTTGTTGGCTGAGGTCCATTTCCAACTTCTAAAGGCCACCCAATCCTTGGCTTCTGAACTAGGTCCAGCTCCTCTCACATTTTGAATCTCTCCGACACACTCTTTCACTTTACAGAACTCACATGATTAGATTAGCCTCACTCAAATAATCCAGGATAGGCTCCCCATCTCATTGTCTTTAAACTTAAGCACATCTGCAAAGTGTTCCAGGGATTAGGGAGTGGACATCCTTCCCGGATTCATTATTCTGCCTACCACAGTATCCCAACCTGTCAGATTTCAGTGACTTCATAAGCAAGTTTCCTGGCTCTGGCATTCTCTTTGCTGTTTTCAGATTAACCTTTCTGGAACAATTGACATGTCCCCCATGATTAAAATCCTTCTGGCTTTCTACTAAGCAAGGGTCAAATTAATGCTCCTTAGCTCCTATAGCTATAGAAAAAAAAAGCACTTGGATTTCAATGGTCCTCTTTTGTTATTTTAGCTTCATTCCAATCTCCACTTTTCCCCCAACCCTTCTGAATGCTTGAAAAATGTTCACTGCGCCCATTTCTCCACCTGTAGCTGCTCCTGAACTCCTATTCCTTCTTCCAAACCCAGCTCAGACATCACCTCCTTGCGGAAGGTCTTCCTGACACTCCCCTCCCCATAGCTATAACCACAGGACAGTGTTCTTTTAACACCGCTGAACCTTGTGCATATTCTTATTTGGGGCATTAAACACAAATGTGTTGTGATTTTCTGGTCTACTTCACCTATAAAGTATTTAATTACCTGTCTCCCAGCCATACTGTGCCACTTCCTGAATGTGTAACTTTGGGCAGGCTATTTTAATTCACTATGCCCCCCTTTCCCTTTGTAAAATTAAGGTGGGTAGCTAAAGGATCTACATTATAGGCTGTTGTAAGGCTTAGAACGGTGGCCGGCACCTACTAAGTTTTGCTAGTATTATTAACAGCCCTCTGCACAGAGCCACCATACAGTAGGTGTTTAATGGATGTTTGCGGTATGGAGGGATTCATCGTGCTCCCATGAAGGTCAGCACCTTCATGAACCGCTACCCCGGATCCGGGCTCCTCCGCAGAAGGCAGGCACATCTTCTGTCCCATCCCGGGGGCGAGGTAGCCTTTGCCCCCACAGCCAGGAGCAGTCACAGTGAAGTCCGCGGAAGTGGCTGAGACCAGACCGGCCTCCCAGGAGCCAATGAGCCTTTAACTGCAAGAGGAAGCCCTGCAATCTCCACGAATGGCAACCAGGAATCATGAGTGCGTCAGCCGTCGCCGGGTAGACTTGAGGCCAGAAGCTGAAAGGGGGCGGGAAAGAAGGTAAGAGCAAATGGGATTTACGGGCTTAAATAGTTCTAATCAATAATAATGGCAACACTCGGTGACAGTCATGCGTACCTGTCTCGTGCCAGGCACGGTAAACATGCATGAGCTCATTTAATCATGTCAACACACTATGAGGCTGGTATCTCATTTTTGCGACTAAAGAAACCGAGGCGCGAACGTGTCCCTCAAGCCGGTCCCGACCTCTCGCGTCCAAAGGTCCCTCCTTCCAGTCCGGATCCGGCTCCCAGGCCGCTGCCCAGCCCCGCTCCGCCTTCTTCGGAGCACCTGCCGCGCCAACCTGGCGTCAGGCTCGGTTCGCCCCGTCCAGGATATCTGGCTCCTCCTCCCCGCCCCTGACCTTCTAGGTTCTTCTGCTAGACCCGCCGCTCTTCCTCATCCGCGCCTTCTTCGCCTCTCGGCTCCTCTTCCGGCCGGCTCTGCGCCGGGACTCCTAGCTCCTCCTCTCAGCTCCGCCCCCGACCTTCTAGCTCCTCATGGCCCGCCCCCGACAATCTAGCTCCTCCCACATCCCCGCCCCCGGCTCCTCCTACCTGGCCCGCTCTGCCCCCAGCTTCCAGGCTCCTCCTCCAAGCTCCGCCCCCGACCGTCTAGCCCCGCCTGTATCCCCGCCCCTGGTCCCTCCTCCTCGACCGGCTCTGTCTCCACCCTCCTAGCTCCTCCTCTCGGCTCCGCCTCTGGACTCCTAGCTCCTCGTGGCCCCGCCCCCGACCCTCTAGCTCCTCCTCCTGGCCCCGCCCCGGCTTCCTCGAGCCTCCCGTAGCCCCGCCCCTGGCTCCCTCTCTCCCGCCCCGCCGCGGCCGCTCCGCGCCTCCCTCTGCCCGGTCCGCCCCGCCCCCGGCCCCTGGCTCCTTTTCTCCCGCCGGCTCTGGCCCGCGCTCTGCTGATCGGTCGGTGGAAGCCCGCGAGCGTTCGAGCCTAGGGAACTCCGCGCCGTCAGATCACCAGGTTCGCCTCTGTGTCCCGGCGCCGCCGCGCCCTCTCTTCCGAGTAAGTGCCTTCCGGCGCGCGGGTCTCGCACACACAACCTCTCGGGGCTTCCCCGGCCGCTGGGCAGCCGGCTGCTCCTGGGGGCGCGCTTTCCGCCCCCGCCGCCAGACTTTCGGGAGTGAGTGGGTGTGAGTGGGTGCATGTGAGCGAGTGTGTGGAAGTGTTTGTGCAGGCGCGTACAGCCCCGGAAACTCCCCGAAGTTTTACCCAGTTTCTGCGTCGCGGCGACTGTCTTAGACCTCCGGCTAGCAGCCCCTACCTACTCGGGCCGACCCTTTCCTTCACTTCCACGTCTCCCTCTGAGCCCCACTCGCGATTCCTTCCTTCTCTGCGTAGACGCGGCCCCCGCTATGTGTCACGCCGCCTGTTAACAGCTCATGCTGTCCAAAGAACTGCCCGGGTTGTCACAATGCCCCAGATTGCAGACCGAGATGCTAGCCTGAGATTGTAATCCAGCCCTGCATTGTCAAACGGGCACACTAGAGTTTTCGCCTTGAGATCGTTCGGTGGAGACTGGCTATGAAGAAGAAAATTTTGTGTGTGTGTGTGTGTCCTTGTGCGCGCTCGTGTGACACTCGAGCCTTAAGCACCTGATGGAGGAACACCTGATGCGCCTTGGGACCCAGGGAGGCTAATAGGCTTGTTCAAGACCAGGCTGACCAACCAAACTTTGACACCTAAAGGATGTTTATTGATTCAGTGACACGGTAATGCGCAAGCCCTCTGATGTCCTAAAACACAGCAGTAGTTAGAGCAGTACCCTGGGGGATGATGGAAGGAAGGGGACAGTAGTTGAGAGCCCAGCCTTGCAATCAACAAAATCCTTGAGTTACTTAAGACTGATAGTTACATCCCTCTGTAAATTCTTTCAGGGGGGACGGGGTGCTCAATACTATCTCAATGTAGAGTACATTTCTGCATTTAAAAAAAGGTTAATTGATAGCGTTAATTGGTTTATTGCATTTAAAAAAAGGTTAATTGATAGTACTTGAATCCATCCATAAAATGATTCCCTGGGTTGCTGAGGAGGTTCCATCCACTTCTAATAGTCTCTGAATTCTCCTGTATCTCATTTTATTCTTGCTATGTTCTTCCTGGAAAGTAGAGATCCCCATAAAATTTCCCCGCTTCCTAGATAAGAATTCATTTATCCAAATTTTTCATTGAGATGTAAGGTTGTCAGAAAGCTATGTGGCTGAAGGAAATCACCAGAACAGAGCAGGCTTTACGTTGCCATTGTACATTGGCATATGAAAGCAAGAGCTGATAAATCACTTTAAGTGCTGCTTATCACAGCAGATATTTTTATCCTGGTTTCAATCCTGTGTTACACAAAAGTGTTTCCACAGTGTTTTAACTAAGGAAACATTATGCTGTGAAATGTAAACATATGACTCCATCTCTCTTAAAGGAAAGAAATAATTATCACACTTAATTAAACACCTGGAAACATTTATTGCCACCTTCTAATTAGATCTGTCATGGGGAGTTAAGTCAGCAAGTTATTGCTAATTTTCTAGCTGGTAACACAATTAGCTTTTTTGTAGATTTTGTGGATGGCTGTGCCCCTCGGTACATATTATTTGCCTCCCCCCACCCCTGGCCCACCTTTTCAGTTTCTATCTGTTATTTGAGTAAATAGTTTCGGGAAGTGGATACCACCTACCTCCCTGTAAAATGTGAATGCTTTAGATATTGACTGTTTTGTATTCATAAGCCATTATATTCATCTAGATTATCAGATGATTTAAGAATCATGGAGAAATCACTGCATCTGAGGAGAGTCCCCCCAAAGCATAGTGATTCTGCACAAAGTGAGCCCTGAAATTTTGTTCTTTAAGGGAGATTTTAATCTCTTGTGCCTTTTGGTCTCGTGTGCTTAAATTCACTGAGGAATGGGGTGGCATGAGCTGGAAAATCTCATCTTCGTTGTCCCTTAATTTTCCGTTTCTGACTATATTGCCAGATACAGTGTTCGTCCTCGTAGTGAGGTGTTGTGGGCACAGCCCGCTGTGGGTTCCCAACAGAATGGTCCAGAAACTGAGGGTGAGCGCGCCCCCGCCAGAAGAGTGTTTTACGAGACCTATTCTCTGCAGTTCTTCGTTCTGTTGAAATTGGAGGAAAGGGTGTGTGGGGAGAAATGACTGCATCCAAACAGCACTCATTAGGAAATGCCATGCGGGAGGAGGGGTGGATTTCTAGATTTTTTCTGGCTTGGGGAATTTCAGCTACTTGCTCCTTGCCATTCTCCATGCCCATCCCCTCCGTGTTTGCACACTTTGAAGGGATGGAACATGGGGGAAACTTCGGGAGGCAGGGGAGAATCCGTGATAACAAGTGAGGGCCACCTGTTTTCTCACAGAGATGAAAGGCAGCCTTAGTGGGCCCTGGGGCCGTGCACAGGGGCCCAACCTGGGTTAAAAAAAAAAAAAAAAAAAAGTGGACCCTTGATCCCCTATTGGCATTCTCAGTCAGCTCAGTTATGAGACAGAAGTTGACGGATTCCGGCACTGTGTGTAGGGCTGGATTAACTTTTATCACCTCACCCCTCCTCACACTGCCCACATCCTGCATCTAATACCAAATGCACACAGTAAGAACTCAACAAACGCTAAAAAGGAGCTTTTAACACCCCAACCTTTATGTTTCCCTGTGGGTAACAGTTTATTCTCCTCTCTCCTGTCCCTGGTTTTGATGACTCTGGCCCTGTAGTCTGAGTTGACTGCAGTTTCTAGACTTTTGTCTGCAAGTGGTGCTTACCAACAGCTGAAAATGGATGATTCTTTGAGGGTAAAAAAAAAAAAAAAAAAAAAAAATTCAGTGAACCTTGTTGCAAAACATAAATGAGGTCAAATAGTATCCAGTGGACATGAGTTTGCATGCGACATGACATTTCTGAGTAAGAGGAGGAAATGAGCTACAAGTGGAGGATAGATAATTCTAGAAACAAGAGGCATCCAGGCACGTGCGAAACCATCTGGCCTACGAGTCTAAGACCAGAACGGCTATACAAATCTGGGGGTGTATCCCTCGTCCAGCTTGCAGGCGGGGAGCACCGTTCATTCACACAGCAGGCATTGATAGAGCTCCTCCTGTGTGCACGGCACTGAACAACCCTCTCATGTTCACAGGAGGGCTGGCAATTTGCCGGAAAATGTGGGTAAGAACGGGCCCCCTCAGGGAAGCTGATGGTGGCAAAAGTGGGTTTAGAATTCTTCTGTTTCACAAAGGGAAGTAAAGGCACTTCCGTAGGATAGAAGAACCATTTTCAAAATACTTCTATCTCAAAATGATAAGAAACTGAAATAAGCACATCTCTTCTGATGTCCGTTTCAGATAGCCAGGGGTGTAATTGTAATTAGTTTGATTCCTAGGACTTTGTTTCCTTGGCCTTTCTGGTGGAACAGAGAAGTTACCTGAGAAACTTGTTTTAGTACGTCACAGGCTCTTCAGTAATCAAGTAATGCCCACTCATCCTTTTTGAGAGCTGTTGCTTTTTCTCTAGAGGCAAGTATTTATGGTTCAGGACCAAGGTAGTGGACGTTCAGAACCAGCTGCAAAGCTGAATGGGCATCTACAAGTTTATTGAGGGTGTGCTTTATTGAGGGTGAGAGGTGATAGACCGACATGGGGATGTTTCTCTCGACGTGACTGGGGGCCAGGCATACAGTGATCTGCCCCACCAAAAAGGAAAAAAAAAAAGAATGGATGAGAGAACACAGGAATGGGCCTCTGCTTAAGCACCCCAAGCTGACTTATAAACAAATCGAGGTTTGTTTCTTTAATAACAGAGAATGGAATTAAATCCAAAATTCCACTTGTAGTTTCCGTAAACATTGGGAATAAGGATGATTTCTCCTCGAGTCACAACGTGGTTGGTTCACATGACTCTGCAGGATTCAGCTGTTAGGTCTCAGCCGCACGTGGCTGTGTGACTTGGACAATCCACTCAAGCTCTCTGAGCCTCTTTCTCCAGCTCAAAACTGGGGATAGTATTTACATCATGGGTTTTGTGATGTGGACTAAAACAGAAGGTCCCTCTCTTGGTGTCTGGTATGCAGAAGGCACCCAGCAAAGGGTGGGCTTTTCTGGATTGGCCAAGTTGGGCTCATTTCAAGAGGATGGTGTTTGTACTGGGTCAGAGCGGAGGGGAGAGGAAGAATGATAACTTGTACCACATGTGTTTTTAGCGTAAACTTTCTTTTTTTCCCTGTAATGATGCCGGAGGAGCCCAGAGAATGGGGGTGAATATAGCCCAATTTCAATGATTCCCAGCTGCAGGGTCATGTGATTATGGAGGGACATCTTGCTTCTGCTGCTGAAGAGAAATGAGCCAGAGCAGGGCATCTGGGCTTTATGTATCTGAGCATGAGAAGAGCCACAGCATCCTGGGAGCCTCCCTGGGCATGACGGAAGCTTTTCTCTTCCTTCCTTCCTGCCTTCCTGCCTTCCTGCCTTCCTTCCTTTTCTCCCTCCTTCCCTCCTTCCTTCCTTCCTCCCTTCCTTCCTTCCTTCCTTCCTTCCTTCCTTCCTTCCTTCCTTCCTTCTTTTTAAAGAGAGAGAATGCAGGAGGGGCAAGGGACTGGGCAGAGGGAGAGGGAGGGAGAGAATCTTAGGCAGGCTCCACGCCCAGCTTGGAGCCCAGCCAGGGGGCTCGATCTCATGACCCTGAGATCATGACTTGAGCCAAAATCAAGAGTTGGACGCTCAACCGACTGAGCCACCCAGGCGCCCCAAGAGGGAAGCTTTTACAAAAAACCTGTTACAGTTAAGATGTGAGCAGTCGGTTGGCCTTTCACCTCTGGAGGCCCTTGTTTAAAACAGGTGTTGGATGACACCCGATTATCTAAGACGGACAGGCAGGTATGTCTCAGCTGTCCTCGATGTCCCAAAGGGACCCAGGCTGGCACGTCCTCGGGGAAGTTGTGAGATTTCCAGAGAGCAGGAATGCGTCTTCACGGTTGTCCTCTGGGTCAGGGTCTCCTGGGCACACTTCTCTC